TCACACCTACATTCACATCGCCACTGAATGGGTACCGAATCCAGCGTGTGTACCGCTATACCATCAGCGACAGCACAATCCCACAGGTCAAATTAATAATTGTGTCCTGAATGTGCCTGTTACTGTCAATCCAACATCAAATAAAAGTATCAATCAGTATATAACCAATTACAGCAATGAGTCAAGTAATGAGGACACATCACAGGACTTGTATCAGAGGTACAACCTCGACACAAAAAGATTAACAGGGTCGTCCGCAGAGGGAAGATTCCTTCACTGCCTTGTTAAATATTCACACTCTGACACACAGGATCAATCAGGGCTGCTTACTGCATGCTACTGACACTACTGCGGAAATTTCTTCATTTGGTGGCACGATCAATAGCTCATTACAGCAGCTTTATGCAGGCATGTCTGTGGGCTTGCCCGCTACTTCTGTTCATTCTACCTCACAGGCCAATTTTATCTGTGGGACTTCATCAGGCAAAGGAGGAAAACTGCCCCCCGCTGAACACCTCGATCTTAACAAACCAACTTTGTTGAGCAGAACAGCATAGATAACAAATTTGTCCCGAGTGATGAAAAATGAGGGATATGAGGAAAATCAATGGTGCTGTCGCCTCGGAGGTGGCATTCCTCTGTATTTTACAATCCTGACAGCTTCACATTTTGAGGAGGTTTAAACGAGCATTTACAATTGCACTTTACTACTGGCCCTGAAGTGCAAAACGCAACCACATAAACAAAAACAAATAGGTATTAAACACAACTACAACAACAACAACAACAACAGTTAAGAGTGAATTACAAAAAAATACAAAACAAATCAATAAACAAAACAAAAAGCTAAATTTACAGCAAATAAAAAAAACACAAAACACAACTGCAATATAAAAACACACAAAAACATAACTAAAAAAATTAAATCACATTAAAAAAAACTTAACAACATAAAATCAAAGAACATAAAAACAAATAAAAAAAAATTATCATCTTTGTTCACTGAATGGACCTGGCGAGGTGCACACTTTGTATACATTTTTACCTCAAGCTTTTTCTATTTCATCCACAGTCCATACGAAATTATACATTTGGTGAAGTATTGTTCTATAACACAATATATCCATCCATCCATTTCCTGATCCGCTTATCCCACTAAGATTCACTATATATGCGTACTCTATATACTGTATTTCCGGCATGGTGGCGGTGTTGTAGTCCTCTTAGTTTAAAACCAGGAAATATATGATCAGCTGCCAGCATGCTGCGGCATCAGTGATGAGCGGTGTCGTTATCGAGTTTTTTTTATTAGTTTAGTGTTTTTTTTTTTGCAGTTGTGTTGGGTTTTTTGGGAGGTTTTTTTTTGTTGTTAATTATTGTTTCATTCAAGCAATGTCAGTTGGTCATGAGACTAATCAATGATCATTTTTTGGATCAGCACCGAAATGACGGACATCACAATCGTAATGGCATCTCTCCTTAGTTCATTAGATGCAGAGCTACACGACGCTGCAGGACTTCGCTGGTTAACTCTGAGCCAGCGTGCAGCTTAATATACGAGCAGCGCTCTCACAGGAACTGACGCATCGCTATTTCAATCATAAGATAACATCTTCAGGACATCAACATCGGCAGCTCCATTTTGTGGCAATACATTTGTACACATGCAAGTGATATTTCAAACAAACATGAGGAAACAATGACACCGTGAATGAATGTAAAACGTTGGTGCGAGAAGACACGCTTTGAAGTCATCAAACATGATTATCTTCGACTCAAATCAAATGTTTTCAGTGTATTGAATCAACATGCAGCAATAAGGACTGGTTTGCCGTCACTGTATACAATGACACTGCATAGCTCATGTCATTAACATGCAAACAGCGGGTTGAGGTGGATTTGCGGGGAGGGGCGGAAAATACAGTTTTAGATGGAAGGGAATTGGGAGCGAATGGGAAACAACTGCATTTTCAAAAAAGAAGGAAAAAGTATTTCACGATTTTTTTTTTCCTGGTGTGGCTCATTAATATTTCCTGCTTTTTTTCCTTCGTCCGTGTTTCTGCACAGACGGTCATCTCCTAAATGCAGAGTGAGCCCGGTGCCTTCATATAAACAAGCCGAGCGCTGCCACGGCACGTTGGTCACAGAGCCAGCGTGGCCTTTTCAAATTCACTACACCCACTTAGACTGATAATAAGTTGCCAAAATGTTCTATGTGCCTTGCAGGGATCCCTCCACCAATGAGGCTGTGTTTGTTTTTGCACTTATCATCGCATGGCATGCTCTTCCGAATCCCTCCTCTTGCTCCCTACCGTGTCCACTCTAATGACACGGCACACAGTGAGCTCCCAATTCATTTAGAGAACTACTCGTGGATAATGAGCAGTCTGACCATCAGCTGATGTTCCATTCATATTATTCCCTGCTCATTATGAAGCCAATGTTGGTGCATCTTAGGGCTACTCCAATTCGAAACAGGATTTAGGCAAGTTCCTGTGGCATGTACTATGCAGCCTTATAAGAAGCCCCCGGACATGAACACATTATTCATTGCCAGCCCATGGTAAAATAGTGGACCTTTTGACTTCTATAGCCGTCAATGGCAGTGAATGAGTTAAACAGTTTGGAGGATGCGAAGTCTCATGGCTCACAATCAACACTGCTCCTCTTCCTGTCAACATCAAATTACCCACCACCGACTTAACTTCAGCCATTGCCTCACTACTTTTTCTCTCCTCCCACAGAGTTGGCTTTATAGGCAGCAGTCCGGCAGGGGTAATTTCTGCTCCCACTCCAGGGAAATTACTTTCTGTTGTTAGAGAAGAAGCATTTTCCAAACTGCTTTATCAAGCGCTTTGACTCCAATAACAGATGACATTTGGATGCCTGGAAGGAACATAGGGCCTCCATAACCAGGCAACCCAAAGTAGGGACTTAACTGCAGGGCACATCCAGTCTCCTGCATGTGTGTACTCATGCTGCTCTGTTTGTACAAACTTACATGTACTCGTGTTCAGCATTCATTTCTGCAGGAATGAGCTGAAAATTGAGCACATACGCTACATAAACGTGTGTGTGTGTGTGTGTGTGTGTGTGTGTGTGTGTGTGTGTGTGTGTGCACGTTATGCTTGGACTGATGAATAATATCTGTACTATGTTCTGCTGTGGCACGTCTGGTGCAGCCTGACTGCACCACAAATCTCCACATTTGCATTCACCACACACACATGCACACCAAGCTTATTCACTGACCTAAAAGTACCAAATCCAAAAATAGGCTCGCCTATTAAAAAAAAAAAATGCAATTATGAAATGATGCCATTGACATTCTCTTCCAGAAAAGAAGAGCAATGGCGCAGAAATGTCAGCTCCTTTTAGTAGCAGGAAGCGTGTTGATTTGGTGACCTCTATGCACTGCGGTTAAAAGGTTGAGCGGTTGTGGGGACACATGAGCAGGGGGTATCAGACGACAGTGAATGAGACAAAGGAACATTTTAAAAGATCAGTGCTGTTCTTGGGGGAAGAAAGTACATCAACTACACATTCAAGACTCCATCACTTACAGTACGTATACATGGTTCATGCCGAAAGGCTGTGCAAAATAGGGCCATGTTTCTCGGATCCCTGTTGACATCTTCCTCTGTAGAAATTGATGATTTATTAAAAAAAAAAAAAAAAAATGGTTTGTAAACTGAGATAACAAAGACATACAGTAGGAATCCTTTGTTATTTGAATTTAATGGAATTCAGCGGCATCTATGCTATGCACTTCCAATATATCATTTCCTATTGCCTTGGGGGTCTATCAGGATTTCTTTTCAGACAACACGATTCTGTTTGAATTTGACCACAAATGGGCACATTATGTCATCATCTATTTTTGCCAAGAGTATTCCTGTTTCTTTAAACTGCTACCAAGACAGCCTACGCTGCATATCACATTGAACCCGAGTCCCTTGTCTGTCCTTATCATAATGATCAGAAATAACAATGAACATTGAATCTTGCTACGGCTAGCTACATGGACTCATGCTGCCGTTGCTGCACCGACCAAGCCTGGAGCAACTGTCTGCTCCCACTGCCATGGCCCCACATTTAAATACATTCACTGGTCATAAGATTAGGTACACCAGAAAGATCCAGAAGACTACCGCAATCTAAAATAATGCCTTTACATATATATATATATATATATATATATATATATATACACACACACACACACACACACACACACACACATATATATATATATATAAAATTGTAGTTGTATTGTTGTGCTAATAAACATGCCTTGCATATTTAAAAATATTTTTAATATTTTTCCCCTCTGAGTTGCGAGATGGAACCCTGATTCTAATGTAATAGAGCACAAAAGCTTCAACCCTTTGCTGAAAAAAAAGTACAGTATCACAAAACATTTCAAACTACTAACCGTATGATGTCCTGTATGTTCTACACGCTGATTTTAAATTTGTATTTACCCGCCAGTGTCATTCAAAACTGAATATGATTATCCTTACAAGGGCAGATTTTTGTGACTACTCCTGAAAGAACTGTTGGCTACTATCATATCAAATCTTGTGGTTGTGAACGTACAGAATATAGCACAAGCATGCACCATAGTTCATCCTTCATAAAGAGGGTTTTGCCTTAAGGAGACACTGTAACTACACTGACAAAAAAAGATTTAAGATACAGTATTATGAGCTTGACGGACTTGTTCCCAAACTTATTCATTCAAAGACTGCATAGTGGATTTATGCATAGCACACGAAGTAATAACTAAGATGTTTCACAAACAATACGGCACTATTAACACCGTCTTAAAGATGTGTACAAGGCTCGAGCAGTTTCTTTATGTCATGACTGAAACAAAAAAACGCCCCACACGATGGGCACTTGATTGAGACAGAAATCAGCCTCCTTTGCACGGGATGAGGATAACATTTCGACAAAGACAAGTCTGCAGAGCAGCACATCAGCAAACGTGTACTCACAGTTCTGAGAAACTGAATCTCATCCTCTCCTTCCCCACCTTCAGCCATGGCTGCAAGTGAGCCCGCTCAGGCGCTGGCTCCTTTTCCTGGTCGACGTGAGCATACAGTTAATCCGCGGTCATACAGCGGCGAGACTGCCGGCCAAATCCCGGTGCTCAAGACTCCTTCACCGGTGGCCCCGGGGGGCGGGTGGGGAGGGGGGAGGACATGGTGTGTGCAGAGAGGATGCTGCTGCTCAAGATGATGCTGATGCTGGTTTGGCCGACCGTGGACGGCGTGGCGTGGAAACAAGGAGAAGCAGAGACAAATCAGCGACGTCGCTTTCAGATGCCAATGCACGAATATTATTACCTTTACAAACAGCAAGACTAACAATTAGTATTCTTTGTTTCTTCGATACTGTTGCTCTCGGAAAGCTTGCAAAATGGACCTTGAAAGCGAGCACATTATCGCGTCAGCTTCCATTTACCAGCTCGAATGAGCAACACGTCTAAACAATCAATGTTTGGCCACAGCAGTGTGCGCGATCGTAAAACAAGAAAACGTTCTAAAAACGACCCCATAACCAACAAAGATTTCATTCATTTCAGCTCACTAAAATTCATACGTCTATGAATTTAACAATGGAAAATATAATATCGGTCACTGATAGCGAAGTCGTGTGTGAAGACTGTATTTCTGCTCTCAATGAAGGATATTTCTTATTAAATCCAATGCTGCTCTCTAGTGTAAGAGTAGTGACTTACAACGCTACAAAGAATTGCTACCCCGACATAATTGTTTGTAGGCAGCGTTGAACCATCAGGCCGTTTCTGCTGGCGTATTCGTTTTTTTGCATCCCCATGGCAATGAAAACTGGCTGCAAACTGGCCGGATTACAGCCAATTTAAAAAAAGACAGTCTTTGACCAAGTCTTCTCAAGAAACAATTGGCTATAGGATTGCTGTCTTTTAGGTGATGTCTCCATTTCATAGTCAAAGTTGCAAACTTGAATAATACATGAAACAAATTTAAATTGAGTGGTTATTTGATAACTCACTGAAGTGAGCACTTCCTTGTGTGTCCTAATCACCTCCAGTTACTGGAAACTCAACAATAAAATACTTGACCATAACATCCTCAGGCTGCAAAAAAAAAAAAATCACAGTCAATCACTCGCTGTAAAGAGTTTTAATTGACAAAAAGGTGATATGGCTACTTTCCTTCTTTATAGCCAAGATAGCGATATTGTTGCAAATTGAAATGAACTCTTTAATAAAAAGCACTTTTCGCAACATCTTCCTGCAGGAGAGAGTCAATGACAAATTGGTTTTACCTGAAATAGATTACGTGTGTGTCATTCTCATGATGTACAGCATCTGCTATTCAGGTGTGTGGAAATGAATTACATTTTTGAAAAGGTCATTTATTCACGAGTTAAATCTTAAAACTGAAACTCATGTTAGTACACATCTGAAAATATTTTTCAGAAGGCCAATTCCTAAATGAAAATTAAATTAATTTTTAAAATTATTATAGGCCTGGATAAAAACAATAATTTAATAACAATTTCACGGTGAGTAGTGAATCTATAAATTCCATTTTTTGACTTCAATGACTGAAATAAATTAAAATGCCCAGAATATTCTTTTTATTTCTTCATATCGCTATGCATCCGTATATCAGTTTTTGTCAGCCGCTCATTTCAGATTCAAAAGTAAATATCAAAACTATAACATGCATATGTTGCTTATATATCCCTTATCATACATGCAGCCCTATTAATCGATACTAGATTATGATTTATGATTTAATAAACCATGGAGGCCCGGTAGTAGACTGGTTAGCACGTCGACTTCACAGTGCAGAGAGGTACCTGGTTCAATTCCAGCTCCCGCCTTTCTGTCTGGAGTTTGCATGACCTCCGTGTGCTTGCGTGGGTTTTCTCCGGTACTCCGGTTTCCTCCCACATTCCAAAAACATGCATGGCAGGCTGATTGAACACTCCAAATTGACGCTTGGTGTGAGCGTGAGTGGTTGTTCTTTTCTGTGTACCCTGCGATTGGCTGGCAACCGGTTCAGGGTGTCCCCAGCCTACTGCCCGAAGACAGCTGGGATAGGCTCCAGCACCCCCCGCGGCCCCAGTGAGGATGAAGCGTTTCGGAAAACGCATGGATGGATGAATAAATAAACCACTTTAAAAATGAATCCAAATAGGGCCTGAAAGATTCACTACCATATTTCTCCACCAGATGTCACTATTAAGCTTTACCGTTGTAAAAAAATGATGGGGACAAAAGAGAAACATAATCCACGTGTGTTCGCTAGAAGCGTGTTACCTCAAATTGTAAGGAACACTGAAAGGTTGACCCATGTGACCGTAAAACATCATCATTAGCTGTCGATAGCTCCCTCGTTCTGCCTGCGAGTTGCAGCCGCACTGGCTCAAAATATTTGGAAACAGGCATTGAAAATAAGCCAATCACATCACAGTTGGGAGTGCAAATCCTATTGGATCCGAGTCTTGTCAATCATCGAAGAAGAGCCCACAAAATCCGCGGTGAGTCCTTGTGGCTGGCTGCAAGGCTTCAACACATACATGGCCAAAAAAAGCATTCATTGCAAGTGAATCGGGTAAGTAAATTTCTGTTTTGTTTCGACGAGGTGTCCTGATTTAACTTACTGCGGGTGCACTTGCACAATGCGCACTTTGCCCTTCCATTGTGGACCGCAAACTCAAGATGATGTATATTTGGTTAGGACATCTAACTGTGTTGTGTGTGCATTTTGCAGTGAATATTGCGCAATAATCCTGAATTGAAATGGCAGTTTTGTGAGCAGCGCCACAAACGATAGACAAAAGTATGCGAACGTTGTTAAGGAAATGCATGTACCGGTACTCTCGTTTATTGCAAGGTGACATCAACACCAAAGGATTGGGATGTACACGGGAGAGGTGCATTTTCCAAGTGTTAAAACTTGTCCATCGCTGATAAAAATAGAAAAACGTTCACGGTTTACCGAAAACGGGGAATGACAAGAAACACGAGTAAAATGAAGATAATGTGTCATGAAACATTTACTGTATGTGCCATCTCGTTAATGTTTCAGTTTTCTCGTGGTGATATCATGTCAAAGGAGAAAAGGGACGTAATGCAGGGGGCTTTATGATTCGACACATTAACCACTGACTTTGACCTCAGGAATTATTTTTTCCATTCACTCAACATGACAAATTTAAAACTATCTTTAAATTCAAAACTGTATTTAATGTGCTGCTAATCATGTAACGGTCTAAAAAAAAATGGCTGTCCGTAAAAGTGTTTTTGTCTTCATGTGTTTTTCATGTATTTAGTCAAATGCATTGCCGTTTATTCTGTAACAGTGTTAGGATGGGCCATACGGTGAGCAGTCAAATCCATCGGCAGGTGGATCGCCTCCTGCGTGATCTTTGGTGAACAACATGTCACCCACCCATCATGGAGGGAACACACACTGTTTTACTTCTCTATGTGCCCATCCGTGAGCTCAGCAACACTAGCCTATATTGCCCTAAACGGACGGTCCCAAGCTTCAAGTACAAGAGTCGCACCGCTCCCTCAGCCGGGACTTGTAATGACCATGACTGTGGAAATGAGGATCTCGCTGCGTCCAAACAAAGAGTCCAGTCTTCCAACTCCTTGGGCAAACCCCTCAGCTACCAGCGGGCAACAAAGACGGCTGTCGCAGAGCTCTCCTTGCTGGCTGCAGAGCACCACCAGTTGCTGGTCGATCTCTTATCCTTGTGCAGGAATTGTGCCAACAAAGTCAAGATGGGTAACCAGGATGGGAAAATGCAGGATTACACCGAGGGGCAGAAGGTTGATCCTGGAGGTGAGGTTGTCTGCAGTAGCAACTTAAGTTCTCTTGCGCAAACAGCAACAAAGAGCAGAAAGATGAAGATGAAGGAAGGCAAGCGACTCGATAGTGCAGAGTATTCCCTGCACTGTCAGATGAAGACGGACGTTTCAAATGGAACTCCATCCTTTAATCTTCCTGCTAGGAATAGTGTAAACGCAGCCTCTACAATGGACGAGACTCCTTCTACATCATCATCTCTCCATGAGTCTCACAGTTTTTTTGTTAATCCTGTCCTGCCCATGGAGGAACCATTTCAGAATATCCGAGAGAGCTGGGATTTTATTGAGGGCAACCAGACGTTCGACTCAGACGTGGATTTCTGCAATGACTTCTCAGAGTATGACAGTGAGCAGGGTTTTGAATCAGCCTCTTGCAGTCTGATGGAAGGCCTGACCCGGAGGGAAAGCGGCACTAACCTTCGGCCTGTCAAGAAATTTCCACCAGAGCACGCGACGGTCAAGTCCAGTCAGCAGCTGCAAGGTGAAGCCAACCAGAGGGAAAGAGGGGTGCGGTTGGTCGTTAAAGTGCAGGATTTGGAGGGGAAAGTACAACGTGTCAGTCACACAAGCCCGGATGGGTCAGGGTCTTCTGATTCGTACCCAGGAACCAGTACACACATAAAGAAGTATGGACAATCGAGAGAATTAAGCAGAGAGACTCATGTTCGAGTCAGCCAAGAAAAACCTGGTCATAAGCTTGCTGAGGGGCTGCGTTTGCCGCTTTCCCATCCCCATGAACTCCGACCCTTAGCTAAAACTCGCACTAAGAGCCCATCTTCGCCTTCTCTCGCTGGCGTCTTCAACACATCCTTCCCTGCCTCCAACAGTCTCCAAAGCATGTCACCGTCCCTATCACCGAGCCCCAAGCTCAACCATCGCATAGTGCTGATCTCAGATCAAGACGTAGACCATGATCGGGAAAGCAACAGCAACACGGACGAGCCCAAACTCTTCGCCGAGGTCACTGACAAGAATGGCAACCGGCGAACCGTCGCGCATCTGGATTTGAATTTCAGCAGACGGCCGAGCAACTCCGGAAAATGGAATTCTTCTGGCAACTCCACAACCACAGGTGAGCAATTTGGAATACCCGCTTGGAACACGTGCATTGCCATCGTGAAATCTTGATGTTAATATTGACATTGAATGTTTCATCATTTTCAGGACTTTAGACAGATCTAATCCGATTAAATTCATTCAGTACCAGCCAATTCTGGACCAAGTCTGAAAAGATGTTTAAAAACGTCTTTGGAAGTGAATGAGTTAAGTACTCTTAATTGTGGCCTGAAGTTCTCATTTCCTCTCAGTGTTTACTCAAATTTTTACTTTGTCCCTTCCAGCTTTAGGCCATAATTTCTTTTGATCTCAGTCGAGGATGTGTCAGTGGTCTGTTTTCTTCTTTCAACAATGACATGT